GGGAGTGTATAAAGCCCCTTCAGGGCTTGATTTTTTTTTTTCCTGAAAATTTCTCAAGTAAGGAGCTCTCTCTTTCTCTTATCCCTTTGAATAGAATAAATAATGCATTTTAGATTCTGCCAGTTTTTGCTGGTTGACTTGTAATTTAACCAGTTGTACCATTTATCACTCAAGCCTTTCGTGCTGTTGTGCCTTTCATGAGCAAACTGCTATTTAGCTTAAAAAACAATGAATAGTCTTAAAGAGTAACAAAACATGTAGGTGGTATCATGAGCTTTCGTGGGTACAACCCACCGTTCAGCTGTTAGTTTTTTTTCAGAAGTTGCTAGTTGTCTATTCACCCGCACACTGAGCAGATGGGTTTGCAGGCTTTGGTGGGCTTTTTGCATTTTACTCAAAAGACTAACAATTGCAGCAGAGTAAAATATTTACATTGTTCTTAGAAAATTAAAGAAGGCATTAATACATCACACTCCATCCGCAAAAATACACGAAGGCCTTCACCCTGTGTCCTTTTCACAGACTGAAACTACAGCCACTCAAAAAAATTTTAGACCAAAGATTTCCATAGAAAAGTGCAGCTTGTTGGAATTAAAACATGGTGGGGACATGTTGATTTTTGATTAAATCTTTCAATAGGACGTAGTCAAAATATTTCATTTTGACAGCGCTCTTTTAAGTAATTTTGTTTCAACATTTATATTTCACAAATGTATTAAACATGATGTATAATATTTTAAATATGATATAAAAGCTGAAACAAAATGAATCTGAACACTATTCAAACAACATAATCTGAAGGCCCTGGATTCACATTTTTTGGAAGTCTAGTTTAATAGGAAAGTAAATAAATTGGGCTTTTTTTTTTTTTTTCAAATTGGAATGATTTCCCTTCCCTCCTGAAATGCTGGCATTTTGCAGGGAACACAAATTCTGTTCCTGGCCTACTGTAGGGGAAAAAAACACACACACACAAACAAACAAAACCTGATGGGTTTTGGCTAAATGCCAAGCAGGCTGTGACCATGACTAATGGACACAGATTTTAAGGAAATAGTATTGCCATTTTGAGGAACGGTGTTTATTTGTCTAGAACTGTACATATTCTAAGTGCTTGACAAAGATTAATCTTCATGGCCTTGCGGACGGATAGGGACAGAAGTGTTAGCCTCCTTTCTCTAGGGGTGGGGAAACTGAGAGAGAAATGACTTGTCCAAGATCACACAGAAAGACAATAAGAGAGCCAGGATAAGAACACACAATGCTTTGGCTTGGGGCACTTTGCTCAGTTCCCTACAATGTCAGCTATACCCATTTGACTCACCACTGCCTCTTGTTTCAATGAAAACAGAGGTGGATGCATTTGGAGTGGAGTGGGGTTCTCAACCTTTTTCTTGGAGTCTCTACCCTCCCATATGCTATATAATTGTGTGCCATCATTACTGGATTTTTTTCCTACATCCAAAAGTTCTGACCCTGTATGGCAGGCCTGCTATAACTTGTAAGTAGCCCCCCAGGGGACCAAGACCCCTAGCTGGGAACCAGTAGAGTAGAGTATCGCTATATACATTTCCCCAAACCACTCTAAGTTTGGGTGCTGGGAGCTTGCAGATACAATTAATGCACTGTACATTAGTGTTTGCTAGCTCTGGAATAACTCAGCGCAATACGATTCTTTTTGTTTTTTTGCTTTGATTGGCCAAATACTTCATACTGTTTGGCCACCACTGATTCCTCAGCAGTTTATGAAAATTCAGCATTTCCGCCATGAGTTGCTTTGATTGGAAGCATAAATTGCAAGGTGTGTTTTTTGATCTGTGAATGGATCATCATAGTTCTTAGACTTGGGGGCCCACTGTGAATACTTTCAGTTCCAAGTCTGAAGCTTGGTTATTCAGCAATATTTGCTTAACATTGGCTGTCTGAGGCTAGGTTTAAGCTGGACCGAGCAGCTCATCTTACAGTATGCAACTCCAGCTACATAGAATACATAGCTGGAGTTGGCTTTCCTTAAGCTGAGTTTGGTGGCATCCCTACAGCAGGAAGATGGAAGCATTCCCATTGGCTTCCCTGACTGTGGGCAAGAAAAGGAGTACTGGATGCTAGTGGGGGAGCCATCTGAGTTTGATTTAGTGAATCTTAACTAGACTTGCTAAAGCGAACGCCAGAATATTGATCGTGGCAGTGTTGACAGGAGCGGCCCGAGGCCGGCTGTAGCAGCTGGCGCCCCAGGCAGAAGGTACGATCGGCGCCCACACCTGCAAGGCCGTCAATGGCTGTGATGTCATCATCGGGCGCCCGGGCCAGTGGCACCCTAGGCAACCGCCTAGTCTGCCTAGGGTCACGGGTCGCCCCTGAGTGATCTTCCATGGAGTGAAGAAGTGGCCTGAGTAAATACGCCTGCTGAAAAACTCATTCTCCAGAATCCATGGGTAAAGCCAATGTAGAAAAGGTGACCACACACTCAAGGGGAATCTGCCTGAACACCTAAAAATATTTACTGGAGCTACTGCATAGAATTCACATAGCTATACTCAGAGCTCGCCAAACCGCTCAGATCGCCCGAACCTGGCTCTTCCGGGTTACAATCTACTCGCCACAGGCGATTAGATTGTATTATTTGTCGAGCCCTGGCTATACTGTTTTTATATTATTTTCTGTATTTTAAGAACATAAACCCAGCCACAGTGGATCAGACCAATGGCCCATCTAGTCCAGGAGTCTTCTGACAGTGGCCTGTGCCAGATGCTTTAGTGGGAATGAACAGTCCAGGGAAATTTTAAGTGACCCATCCCCTGTCATCTGGTCCCATCTTCTGGCAATTGGAGGTTTAGGGACACTTGAAGTATGGGGCTGTGTCCCATTCCCACCTTGGCTAATTTCTGTTCCTGTCCTCTAAACTTCTCTAATTCATTTTTAAATTCAGTTATGTTTTTGGTCTTCACTATGTTCCCTGCCTACAAGTTCCACAAGTTGATACTGCATTGTGTGAAGAAATACTTTCTTTTCTTTATTTTAAACTGGCTACCTACTAAGAGTGTCTCAAGAGTTTCCTAGAATGTATTAGATTGGACACTAATGGCTATAGATCTCTTAATATTTGCAGGTGAAATGGGAGTGGGAAGTGACACATTTTCTTCACGTATTAATTACTTTTACATTTCCTAATTCTGTTTTACTTTGTTCAGCCTACAGGATCATTTTGTCTTGTATGAGACTGTATGAGTCTGTATGGCTATAACTAGACATGGAAAGATTAGATTTTTATTCATCTCATGTACTTGCGCACACACACACACAACTTCTTTTAACACAACTTCTTTTAACACACAAAGCTTTAACTTTATCAATATCAGTATCTACTCTTGTTAAATATTTAATATCTGACCCCATAATTTCCAACAACTCTGAACATTTAAATAGATAAAAATGAATGCAGAAATCCATAATTTTGTGCACCTATGAAGATGAGTTGATAAAAATAGAAAAAATGCTTAAAAGTCTCAATATAATCCATCAATATTATAAAAAGAATAACAACTGAGTTTTGCAAAGCCTAAGTATGCCATACCACTTGTCTATGTATCAGACAGTTACTGGGTGGTCTAGGACTGGGTCTATTATGCAGTGCTGACAGTGCTGAGCCTTTTGGGCAATTGTTACATTGACCCTTTATGACCAACTTTAAGGCTTAATCCAGAGCCCATGGAAATCTGTGGGTGTCTTCCCATTGACATTGACAGGTCCTTGATTGCTTTCCAGGACAGTGGAAGTGAAAGATCCTGGATATTCTTGGTAAAGGGTGGGGTCAGGGTAGTGTTTTCCTTTTGTTTGAACAGCTTTATATCTCCTGAAATGGGGAGGATGCTCTCAAAGGTACCGCTAGAGGGCTGTGTAGTCCAACAAGAAAGACCACAGGATTGTGGTTGCCCGGAGAATGACATGGGAGGTAAGTGAGGTGTCTGCTTCCCTCCTAAGGGGTGAACTTGAGACCATCAACCTTTGACAATACCCATTCTTCATTCTTCTCCTTCGAATCTCCTTAAGTTTCTTCTTTCCTTCTAGTCTCCTTCTTTTCTCTCCTCACTGACTTCTTGTTGAGTTATCCTGTGGGAGGCACTGCTACTGAGGGAACACTTGAACAAAGGCTAAAATAATTATCTGTGGTGTCCATGAGAGCAGGGCTCGCCAACACTGTGAATGTTGCGGTTGTCAAAAGTCACAGGTGTGGTGTCCTGACGAGTACCATGCTAAGTTCAATGATAACCATTTGGCTGTGTGCATGTTCGTGTGCTCCTTCTGCATGTTGTGCTTGCTTGGTGCAAGTAGCCAGCACAGTAGACTGAGTGAGCTTCCAAGAATCACAGAATCAGATAGGATACGAAGGCACCTGAGTTAGGTTTATTGTTAATGAAGCACAGAAATGGCACTTGGCAGACTCTACAAGGATACTATGAATGCATGCCTGTGACAATGGATCCTTATCAGTTTGTGATAGGGATACGCTCCCACTTCCTAGGATGGACCAAAACTTAAGTTTGAGATGCCCCAACTTTTATAGACTGAGATGAAACAATCTGTGATACATATCTTACTGTGTTAATGATGGGTGTGTTACCTCCCCTTGTATTTTCTTCCTGATACATCAGACAGTGCATCCCTACTGACCACCTGTTGTGCTTTTACTCCTGATGTTTCAGAGAAAATATCATTATTCATCACTTTTGTCAAATTATTTTATCATGTGCTAGGTGTGCCTTGTACCATGCTGCTCTGGAATGTATTTACATGTTCCATGTGTTTTAGTAGTGCTAGTGCCGAGTGCATGCCCCAGCCACTGACTTGCAGGGAAACATTTGCTTTTGACAGGGCCTGCCTGTTACTCAGACTATAATTCTTGCTGTCTTTGGTTCAGGCTTCAGGCCTTACACCAGCCTAGTCTTCAGGCTCTTTCTTTCTCCTACAAATGTCTGTGTTACCCTGTCATATTCTGTGTGCAGGCGTCTCATGAACCGCTTGGAGGACATGCGCAGGAATGTGGCCGGCGATGGTGTAAATCGCTGCATCCTGTGTGGAGAACAACTGGGTCATCTGGGATCAGCTTGTGTAGTATGTGAGGACTGCAAAAAGGTGAGTCCTTACCTCGGCTGCACTTGAGAACAGCAGATAATACTGATGGCACAACCTCTAACTTGTGTGTTTGGGCTTCTCCCATAGCTGTGACATCGGTTATCTTGAGCAAATCACATAGCTTGAGATTTCTGAAAGCCAAGTGAGGGATTTAGACATGCAACTCACATTAGCTCTAATGGATGATGTGTGTAAATGAGATCCGGCAGAATAACAAGGGTTTTTTTGTTCACATTCATTGCTGAAAAGATGAGAAAATTGTTTTGGGTAGAATGGTGTTTTGTTTTCCATTTGGTTTGAGGGTTTTTTAGGTTTTAAATTAAAAAAAATAAAATTGAAGTAAGTTTTGGAACAAAAATTCTTTTTTTTTTTAAATTGAGATTTGTTTTGGAAAAAGAAAGTGACAATCTCAAATTTGCAAGATGTGTTGCTTGATTCAAATTTGCATTTTGTTTTGCAGGGGCATGAGGAAATGTTTAGTTCAAAAATATATATAGTTCCCAGCATTAGTCTGAATCTGGTCTGCTTTGCAAATCTCAGTCTTAAACTTTATACCCCAGTAAAACAAACCCCCGTCCTCATGGCTTTGTGAGAGTTCATGAGAAATCATTTTTCAACCATTTTTTAAGGCAAAAATGCCATATTACGTGTTAACTGTAATTATTATAGTTAAATCTGAAACAATGGTCTTTAGTGGTGCTTTGACATAGCAGAACATGTGCTATACAAAATGCCCATCTGTTTTGGACTCACCCTAACATCCCATCACAGCAAGGGAAGTACTCCTGGCAAAGTTTCAGTCTTAACTGATCACTTATTTATGATCCTTTGCAATGAGACCCAAACACACTTCCTAGGGTGAATGATGGTGAGTCTTTAACTAGAGCAGGGTTCCTTTATTGTTCCCCACCAAGACTTTTCTGGCCATGCTCTGTTGCAGTGCTTTAGTCTCGTGTGTTGCCATAAGTGTGTGATTTTGTTTTGTTGGTAGAACGTTTGCACAAATTGCGGTGTGGAGACGACCAACAGCCGCCCTCATTCCATCTGGCTGTGCAAGATCTGCAGTGAGCAGAGAGAAGTAAGTGCTAGTACTGCTGGCTGGTTTTACTTCCTCTCTTCTGCTGCAGCGATGCTTTTGTTAAACCCTGTGTCTGGGGTTTCCTTCTGTTCGGTGGTTCCAGAATTGGTAGCATTTGCAAGTCAGGGCTTTAATGATATGTGTACTAAACATTTCTTGATATTAAGCATCCTGCCATGTGGAGCATTATGTGGCTGTCTGCTTAAACAATATGCATTCTGAGTAGGCTTGTCCCAACAATCCCAGAAGGAACAGTGTTAATTAGATATTGGCCCAATTTCTTTCCCAAGCCATTGAAATCAGAGAGTTAATTAGCTTTGTTCTCTCTCTGCACCCTGACTCCATAGACAAACTCTCATTCAAAGCTGAAGAGCTCCTAGCTGGCAGGACCCTCGCGGTATAAATAAGGGTAATTTTTTTAATATAAAGCAGGTTGGACAAGACTTGCTTTCCCTTAGAGAAATTAACCTCTTTTGCTTGTAATGCTCATCTATTCTGGAGAGGGTTTCATGTCCATCAGCCCATCCACTGACTTGCCCTGTGTTATGGCTCACAAGCTGAGAGAATTGTTTACTTGGAGACTTTCCCTTTCTGACTGGTTGCTCTGGATGTGCATGTCTGTTCAAAGAGAGTGGAAGCTGGGAGCCTTGGTCCTCCATGCTTCTGGGAAGACTGGAATGCAAGGCACCAATTCAGGGTTGGAAGACACCATGTGAGGCTGTTTGTCCCAGTGCCAAGCAGACATAAGGTGCTGCGATTCTGGGCTGGGAAGATTCTGCACTCAGTTTGCACTGGGCTTACGTCATTGTGCAAGATGCAGAACCATGGTGAGGCAAGTCCAGTCAGCTTGTGAGTTGGAGAGCGAATCAAAAAATGGCTGAGTGCAAAACACTAGAATAATCTGTGCAAAGCTGGCAGGAGAGTTAATTCAAGGCTGGTTTTCAGGAAACTCCACCCACCTCACGTTGGGTACCATGTTAATCATTTCCATATACCAGAGGGTAGGCATCAAATGGACTCTCGATGGCTGAGCTGCCCAGCCAGAATGTAGCTAAGGAGCAGTTCCTGAGAACGGATTAATCCTGAAATGTGGATCAGGTCCACCCAGATTGATAAACGGATGCTCATGTAGACAAAGCGCGTCCCTTATACTCTGCCTCTTTTCCCAGGTGTGGAAGCGTTCAGGGGCCTGGTTCTTCAAGGGCTTGCCAAAGCAAGTGCTGCCTCAGCCAATGCCCGTCAGCAAGACCAAGCCACCCCAGGGTTCCAGCGAACCCGTCTCCTCAGAGCCACCTGCTCAGGACCCGAAACTTCACTCCCGCACTCTGGGCCGAGGTAGGGGGCGATTTTTATCCTCCTGTCTCATTCCCAGTTGCTCTAATGCTGCCTGAGGTAATAGAGGGCTGGGGCTGTGGAGCCATCAGCTGAGGAAGATATTAGTCAATTAGGGCCCTACCAGGGCTGTATAAATAAGGACTCCTGGAGGGAAGGAGAACACACACACCCTAGCTCTTGCTGAGGAGTAGGAGGAACCTGGCTGTCAGGGAAGGTGGAGGCCACCTGAGACAGAGCAGGGCTGAGGAAAGGCAGGCAGAGCTGCGGAGCCCTGGGCTGACCTCACTCCCAGGCTACAGTGCCTAAAGCAAGGCCTGAGAGTATCATGGCTGCAGGGAAACAGCCAAGGCAGAAGAAGGCAGCAGGTCCACACCCCCCTGCCGAAGAGAAGTGGCCATTTCAGACGGCAGTTTGCCCCTGAGGCAGGGGCTAGATGATGACTGGCATTGGGTCACTGAGGCAAGGTGGGTGTAGAGGAATTGGGGGTCCCCTGTAAGGGTAGGATCCCAGAGTGCAGTGGCACTGACCTAGGAGGAAAGGGTGCCGTGAGCAGGGACACCAGGTGAACCAGCAGAAGACCTGTAATAGAGGCTGGGACACTGGCTAATTCCCTGAGTACCCAGCAGGAGGCATTGCAACAGTGAGTGTTTGCCCCCGACGTGTTTTCTGATCAGCCAGTAGTTTTTTGGTTCCCTTCCCCATTGGAGGTAGCTGGGTGGCTCCATTCCTACTCCCTTAAAACTCACCCCTTGTGCACCTTCCATCCGGAAGATCTCCAAGGCCCTGGGCAATATTGTAAAGGTTTTCTAAGGTAATCCGAGCATGGCTACAGTAAGTACAAGATAGATTCACTGAAATGATTGCAGGGAAAGTGGATTCCTGTGCATCCTTGGCATTGCAGCAATTTAAAATAAACCCAAACAAAACAATTTTGGCCCCTCATGGATTCAGTTAAGAAGATCAATGGGCTGTAATGCCTGTTAGAACTAAAGGAGCATTCATACAGTAAGACAGCAATCTGATTGGGACTCTCGGTAAGCATTGGATTTTGCTTTTGTTCTGGAGATAAAGGAGAACAATGCCCTAGCCCTCCCTTGTTCAAAAGCTTTGGCTAACTTAATCAGAGACGTCTAATTGGACCAGATTTCTGCTAAATTCCAGCGTGGAATGAAATAGGGAAGGCAGCCTTGATTCTGAGCTCTAATGCTGGTCAGTAAAACCTCATGGGGAAGCACAGCTAAAACTCTTCTCATAGGCGATCTCTAGGTGGAGGGATCTCCTGGAACTCTAGGATCACATAATTGTCCATTCACTGAAGACTGAATCTGAGACGCCCTGCTTTAGTTTTTGCCTCAGGGAGATTTCATTGTCTGCCATGCCCAGTTCTGATCCTGGCCCTGTGCTGAGAACCATTGCAAAGTTGCCTGTTTGTCTTGGCTTTTCTGTTGACTCAGCTTCTGCTGCCTCATCCCCTCTTCTCTTTAAAGTCACTATGCTGAGGGGTCCATGGGTATTAACCCCCTGTAAGTGGAAATTGGGTTGGCCTGAATCTAAGCCATACATCCCAGCCACAGGATAATGGACACTCGCATACACTTCAAACTTACGACTGCACAGCTGCTCCAGCTTTTGGGAGGCAGAGCAGTACTACAGCATCATTTTGGACCACTTCATCTTTTCCTATTGCTAGGAGTATTCACTCTATTAATTGCTCTTTCTTTGTGCTTCTCAGGCCAGG